CTTCTCTCTTCTATGTCTCTGTCTATCTCTCTCCCTTTTCTCACCGACCTCCACCACCACCTCCCCCACCACCACCCTTCACAGCCTTCAGCCCGACGCGCAGCCCCGACCCAATCGCCCCCCGGCCGGCAGCCCGGCTGGCAGGGCAGAGCCAATCCAATAAAGCTCGGGTCTGGCCTGGCCGGGCTGTTTAAAGCTTTTGCGGGAGGCCTGTTTGTACTTACAAAGCACCACTCCCGGCTGCCCGCCCGGCCCCGCTCGTGGTCGTGGTGCCGTAGGGGCGGCGCAGACAGACGCCCCGGCTCGCAGTGCAACGTGATTCTCCACGTGGCCTTAATCCATACTCACTGACCACAACGTAGTCGTCGTCGTTGTCTACGACAACCCTCGTCGCGGTCGACGCTCTCCTCCATACTCACCGAAGTCCGTGTCGTCGCTGAAGTCCTCCTCCTCCTGTAGGTCGAAGTCGCTGCAGGACGAGTCGCTGTCCGTGTCCAGGTCCTGCTGGTCGGCGCGGTGCCGGTGGCCGCGGTGGCCGCCGTGGTGGCCGGAGCCGTGGTGGCCGGCGCCGTGGTGACTGCCGCTGCAGCCCCACTCGCCGCCGCCGTTGTTGTTGTTGTTGATGTTGTTGTTGGCGTGGCTCGAGTCGTTGTTGTTGACGCAGTGGTGGTAGTCCGCCTCCTCGGCCGACAGCTTGTTGTAGCCCTTCTTGTTGTTGTTGATGGAGCCGCTGCTGCTGCTGGTGCCGATGCTCCCTGCAACAGATGAAGACAGGGTAATCGCGTTACTTCCTACGTCCTGAATATAATTTCGCGAGAAACATTCCACACTCAATTATTTAACGCCGGGCCTGGCCCGTGGGTAGCCTGCCTGCCTCGTGCTCGTCTCTTACTTTCCCGTAATACCCCCCTCCACCCCCCTCGCTCCCTCCGTCCGCCCGGCCTCCAGACTCCGTGGCACGGCGGTGGCGCTCTCTTCTTGCTATTTTTCACGCGTTGATTAAAAATTCCAGCAGGTATGTTATTCATCTCCACGGTACGGGGTGGGCGCGCTCGCTGCGGCGGAACGGGCGGCCCACCACAAAAAGGCGCGCGGTTAGAGGGTGCCGCCCCGCCTCGCCCCACCGGGTGCTTCATACAGGAACGCCCCGGCCGAACCCGCCCCGCCCCGACAGGCAGGCACACCGTTGGGGTCCCGGCTCGGCTTCCGCTTCCACTCGGCCAGATTCCAGCGGCTCGGGCTCCAACTTTGACGGAGCACAAAGGCTCCTGGCCGCGCGAGGGCTTGGCTTGCTGCGCTGCTGCTGCTGCTGCCTGCGCCAGGCGAGGGCAGCGCCGAGCGCGTGTAAAAATAAAAAAAAAAGCTGTTTCACATTCAAAGAGTCTAGACGAAGCAGAGCGGGTACCTCTCTACCAGGTGCGCGCGGACTGAGACGATTGGAAAGTTTAAAGTAGTAGAGAAACAGAAAGCAATGGAAACAAATAAGCCGTACAACACCCGGGGACCCAAGTTCATTCACCAATTCCTTCCACGTTTTCCCCATGCCGCCGACCACCATCGATTGCTTTGCTTTCTGTTCCTTTTTATCCTTTCTAATATCCCGAAGTACTTTGCCGCTAGGCTAATGACGCACCCCTCTATCGCGTACCTTCCTCCTCCCTTCTTCTGGCTTTGTCTGGGATTCCAATTTTCTGCGAGAGGTTCTTACGTACTTTGCTGCCGCGGCCGGTGGGGGGGTCTCTACTCTACTCGAGCTTGATAGAAATACCGTGAGGAGGTAAAGGGTCGGGGCGGGGGTGGGGCCCGGGCCTGCCACGCGCTGATCGCCATGCCGCTCGCGTCTGCGTCTGCGTCTGCTCACCCCCCGCCGTGTGCTCGACACGAGTCGCAATCGACTCCCATGACCGGACAGGGGCGAGGCCCCAGCGAGCAGCGCCTTGCTGTGCTCCTTTTACTCCCAGCCGTCTGTTTGTTTCTCGCTATGGTACCGGCTGATTCGGAGAAGACGCAGGTGCGGGCGGGTTCGCCTACCCCAGGGGCCATGGCACCTTTACGGGCAGAGCGAGTAGGCAGGTCCATTCGCACCCGCTCCTCTTTTTCTGAATCACTTGATACAACAACCGTTTTGGCATGCCCTTTTTGCGCTCGCCGCGCTCAACTTTTGCCGGCGCTGGCCCGCGTCCTCCTCGCGCACAGCAAGCAGTCTGTTTGACGAGGATAATAAAGCCGGCCCTCTAGCGCCTCGGCGCCGCCCGCGAGTGCGCCGTGTGCTTCGCTATGCCCAAAGCGCACTGGGATTACCGCGCTCTCTGCGGCGCCTCGCGGAAAGCGCGTGTGCGTGTGTAGGTGTTTGTGTGTGTGTGAACGTGTGTGCGAGAGTGTTAGCGCCGGCAGCAGGTCTGGTCTGATCTGAGGGGGAGTCGGGCGCCGATGTTTTCTCCCGCGGCTGACTAATGCCGCCGCCCCCGCCGCCCCCTCACGCCCGATAAGCTCATCAAATAGCGTGTGCCTTAAGGCCTCCACGGCGCTGGTGCGGCCCGGCCGGGGGGCGGAGGGGACCTTGGCGGCGTGGTGGAGGGCAGCACCCCTCCTCCGCCCGCCCCCGCAGCCTCCTCCTCAGCCCGAAGGGCGTCTCTCCCGGCCGATAGTGAAATATACTGCGCCTGCCTTTACTAAGTGCCTCCCCCTCCCCTCCCCTCCCCTCCAGGGGGCAGGCCGAGGCCGCGGTGGCGTGAAGCGCCTTAAGGATTATCTCGCGCGTAAGGTCGTAGGGCGCGGCGCAGCGGGGAGGGGAGGCCGATGTTGTTCGCCGTGGTATGGTATGATGAGTGGGCGGCGGCGGTGCACTCGAGCGGCTCCAGGGTCAGGGCCAGCAGGGCCTCGTCCTGGCGGCTCCCGCCCTCGGCCACCAGCGGGACGGGGACCGGATCGCGTTTCCCTCACCCCTACTTGTCATGCCGGGGGAGGTCCGGCACGGCCCGCAGAGCTGGGGGCGGAGGGGGTTCTGCCGCCGGGAATGCAAAGTGTACAGTCCGCGGCCCTCCGTCCGGACCCAGCATCCCGCGCCGCCACCACTGCCGCCCCGCAGCGGTAACGAGCTCCGGGAGAACTCTTGAGGTCGGCCGGAACCCCTCCGCGCCACGCTGTTACCGCTCGGTGGGCCGCCGCCGCCCGGCCCGCGGACCCGCATCGGGCCAGAACTTGGCCGGCGACGCACGGCGCGCGCGCGCCCGCAGGAGAGTCAGTGCCCGTGGCCAGCCGCAAGTCTAGGCCACAAGCGCCCCACCGCGCCGCGAATTTGGACGGCTTCAGCGCTGTCTCGCATCGAAGCCTCGATCCCTCATGCTCTCCCTCTCCCCATACCACCTCTCCTTCTCTGGACCGCAGCACCCCCTCCCACTCTCTCGCACAGCCAGCTCCCCGACTCTCCCTTGCTCTCCCCCCCCCCGCCGCCGGCAGCCATATCTTGCTCGTCCAGTCCGGTCACACGTCTGGAAATTGCGTCCTTTTGTCGGCCGCTCTGTGATCATGGTCCGCCCGGCCGCGCCCCGCCCCGCCCCTAATCCCCTATGAGCTGAATGCTGAGAGCTTTCGGCCCGCCGGCTCGCCACAACCCTTCCCTGCCGCCCCGGGGGAAAGAGAGAGGGAGGGGAACGGAGGGGGGGGGGTGAACCACTCAAACACTACGACAGTAAAGCGAAATATTCAAAGTCTCTGCGTGCTGAGCTGCCCTGCAGCCGCCTGCTGCCGGCCCAACGCGAGGTAACCATCCTGAGATGCCAGTCTGGCCTCGGCGCTCGATTCAATTTTCTTATTCTCAGGCTCGCGCGCGGGTTCCCCCCGCCCCACTCCGCCCGCGCCACCACCACAGCTGCTTTTGCTGATTTCAAAAAGTTCCGGATTTGCGCCCGCTCTCCCTCTGGTAGTATGAAAGACTGGCTCGTCGTAGCGGCGGGAGGCGGTTCTGCTGCCGCGAGGTTCTGGGCGTGTCCACGAGGAGGAAAAGGGAGAGGGGGGAGGGGGGTAACTAGGATATGGCTGAAAGTTAAGGGAGAGAACGTTAAGGGAGCGAGTGGCGACGGCTCGGGCGTTACGGCGCGCCAGGCAGCCGCCGCCGTCAAGGAGCTCCCCGGGAACATGGTCATTCCAGAGCATTTCATCCCTGTGGACTGTGGAGTGGACCTCCCCGCGCCAACCGGAGCCGGACGCTCTCTTCGCCCTTCACGAATGGAACGACCGATGGCGCAGCTGCGCGCGTCACTTGCGCACTCCAAATGCGATAGGCCCCCGCCGCCGGCCTGGTGGCGCGACTGGCCCGACTGGCTCTCGTCCATGGGGGGTGGGGTCACATGTACGCGAGGGATTTGTGGCGGGGACACGCCGCTGGGTGCGTTGCGCTCTGGGCGCGACCACATCACAGGCAGCAGCAGCAGTAACAAGCTACGCACGTTATAGAAGTTTACCTCTGCAGGCCTGTACCGTGTGCCGTCCGGCGCGTATCCTTTTGCGAGCTAATTCGTCACCAGACCCATACGCTCCCCGCCTGCTCCCCAAACGCACCGCGCAACCCGAGCAGCCCCGCTGCTGCCAACTAATAGTCCAACTAGGTTTGCAGTCCGGCCCCGGCCCACCGTCCAGGCCGACCCCCCGGTAATTACGTACCCGCCCCTGCTGCCCCTGCTGCCCCTGCTGCCCCTGCTGCTGCTGCTGAGCGTAATCCGGGCATTAAGGAGCAGCTACATGGGAGGCCCCACGCCCTCCGCCCACCCCTCCGGGTCACAGGTCAGCGGCGTATGCGTCAGGGTCGTGACTACTCCAGGGCCGCCGACAAGGTTCACCCCGTGCGTCATACTGTATGAGCCAGCTCGAATACACTGGAATTACACTCACAGAACAGAAATGTATAAACTCCCCCCCTCTCTCTCCCCCC